AAACAATCTACTCGTGGGGTCCGTTTGGACCCCAACGTAATAGTAGGGCTAAAAAACAAAATGCTGCAACTCTCACTTGCCACTACCTCAGTTGCAATGGCTGCCAAGGGTTTTGTGTCAAATACGCTCCAAAGGACACTACTATTAAAACTATTAAGTTCAGCATTATTATATACAAGATTGTTATTATTGTTATTATTACTATAAAGTTGCTCTTTAATTTTTAATTTTACCTTTTTTAATTGAATTTTACTTTTAAGATAAATGCAGTACTTAAAAGTTATAATTAACCAAACACGAACATATTTATAATTTATTTTTTTAATAAATATGTTGTAAAGCATACGTACCGATTACGTGCTCTTTTTTTAATTATTTTTTTTCATATGAATATTAACTTTTTCATGAATGTTGTTCTTGAAATGTTTCTCAAACTAATTTTTATTTATTTTACTTATATATATTTTATTATATAATTCATAAAATATACATATTGTATGGGGCTCGATAATAATGTAATGTAACTTCTTATTCTTGTACCACCACCCTCCCCAATGTTTTTGTAAACTTTTAAATTGTAGTGTTATTAAACGGAAAAGTTAACCAAAAAACAAAACTACTAGAGTGGAATATATATTGTATCATCATATTGGCTATATGTGGCCCCCACCTAAACATAGTAATACATGGGCCACGTATTCTGTCTGAATATGACATAATAACACATAAAGCCCATCGAATTTTTTTATAGGGCGACCATAAAAGTAATTTTTCTTTTTCAGTTAAGTTAGATCATTTTTGATCATTTGTCAATAACTTTTTTTCACAACCTACATATAATTTAAAATTTTTAACAGTATATTATTATTTTATTGATTGTTTGCTAATGTTAACTATTTACTTAGAAAAAAATGTAAACAAAAATTTAATACTGAAGAAACATCGTTAGCTTGCCATCAGACTCAGAAACGCTATACTTATATGATGATGATAATAAAATTATTAAAGTAAAATACTTTGTAATAACATTTCCAATGAATTTATTTTCTAAAAAACTATCAATGTTTGTAAACCTCTATTTATTAATTCAATTTTTTTTTAGTATTAGGGTAGAGGGTTGGGGGTGGTTGGTTTGATAATAATATTACTAAAAAACAGTCGAATTAGGACCTTTTTTGGTAACATTAAAAGATCTTTACTTATTTTTCAGCTGCAAGCCGGCTGGTGGATATTTCTTCAAGAGTCAACGACAACCTCTTTTTACATGTTTTGAGATAATAGGTGTGGTCAGTTAAACAATTACTCCCACATCTAGGGATGCATTGTTCACTGTTAATGCTACCATTTATTCTTGACTTGAAAAAAAGCACTCTCTGACTGCTAGAGTGGGTATTTGAGCTTCAAATGTAACTCACTCCTGGTACAGCATAGGGCTTTCTGTGGTGGTAAACTTTTACTTGGATAAAACTTGCAACAGTATAGATGTTTCCATATTTATGAACAGTAATGTACTCGAGGAGTCATCTACCCTTTAGCTTCTAAGCTCTTACCTCCAATCTTTATCGTAAACCATATATTAAAACAATTGCATAATTAAAATCTGCCAAAGTTGTATTTCTTTATTGGGCTAGTCACTTACTTTTCCGCATTATACTTTTTTTCTTCATAAACTTCAAATCCGTCCTTGCATGAAATACTTTTGCCATATCTGGGGCGAATTTTATAACGTTGTCATTTCTCTTTTAGACAAGGTGCAAAAGCGTATTGGAAACATAGTTGGACCTGCTCTTGCAGCCAACCTCCAACCATTATCACATTGTTTTAATGTTGCTTCTCTTTCTTTTTTATATAAATACTATATTGGGTTCTGCTCTAAAGAGCTAGCGTTTCTTGTGCCATCTATTTGAATTCATTCTTGTGTTAATCGTCATTTAATCAAGTCTCATCCTTTTACTGCGGCTGTTCCTAAGTGATCAAAACACTCTTGTTTGTCTAGTTTTTTTTCCTCGAATATCAGTTCTTTGTAGTTCGCTTCATTCATATTGCTTTTTTTATTCATATAATTTGCAATATTTTAAGTTTTGAATAAGAAATTATTAGGTGAGAGTGGGAAGTTGCGGGATGCGGGAGAAGTGGGACAATCAGTTAATTATAGTTTGAAGCAATGTCTAATTAATGTTATTTAATGTATATAAATTAATTTTTTACCATTTTTTAATCCGACATTTAACTGAAAAGTTCAAAGGTTTTTATTTGCTCACACCCTAATAACACAGGTAAGTATACTTTTTTTATTTTATTTTAAGTTAATTAAGGTTCCCCAATAAGTCCTTACGGTCTTATCACAGAGCACCGCGGAAGAGCATTTAATAGGAAGTTCACGACTCCTTCCCAACCGATGTCTCAAAACTTGCCCAGATGTGGGGTTTGAACCACGGATCCTACGTTACTGAGGCAAGTGCGCTACCACTGCGCCACGGTTACACATTTTGTTTATTTTGTAAAAAAATGCATTTATCATACCATTTTAGTGCTAAAATGTAAACTTTGCTTTATTTGGGTGGCTGTAGTTAAAGTTTTGTTGCGTTTACTTCAGGACACTATTTGGAACTTGCCATTGGATAGTTTCTTTTTATTTAATTAAACTTAACTTTAAAAGCAACAGTTTGCTCAAATTAATACTTGTTTAGAGGTCATTGTTGAACGTTGTTTAGAGGTCATTGAAAGTTTGTCTTATTTTCTAATGCCCCACTTTTCTCTATTCTTCCCTATACTTGCATACATTTTATGTTACAGGAAAAAAAAACTTACCTAAAGCCAACACCAAGTTGTAAATATATTGGTTAACCTATCTTGTATTCTGCGGTTTTTTTCATGGAGATATAGCAGGTACTTCATAACATCAATCCCGAGTCAAAACATGCCTATATATGTGGGTAGCATAAGTATATACGTATATACGTACATAACATAACATAAAATAGACTTTTCAAGAAGAAAATTATCCCTCGCTTTGGTACTTGGCGGCATTTTTAAGTCTTGTAAGAGTTAGAACAACTATCACCACTAATGATATACTTATTTGAGAGAACTCATTTTGTATTTTTCTTTTATTCAAGGTATATAACCAGGATATGTTTCAAATCATTTGGTCAAACGGATGGCTGTATTTTTGAAGCACCCAATTTTCCGTATTTTATTTGTGTGATAAAATCTTTCAGATTTCAATATTATTACCAAGAACTCAGATGCGTGTTTAAAACCTATAATATTTTTTTATAGTCTTTGTCTTTAAATAACATAAATAATTATTTGTTAAAACATTATACTTATATTTTTTCCCTTTATATTATGGGATTTATAATATTATTTGTTTTTCAAATAATATTTGTTTTTTTTCCCTGTAAAATATAAAATTTATAAAAATAACGTTTTTGTTTTGAAAACTTGATGAGGCCATCAGAAGGTAAAAGAATAGTTGAAAATAAAAAATTTTTTTAGTTCTTTATAATGCTTGCATAAAGTTTTGCTACGAGCTACTTTCTGAATACCTTCTTTTTTGTATTTTTTATAAAATTTATAGTTTGTTTAAAAACATCATAATTGCCAAAACAAAAATAAATAAAAAATTATAATGGTTTTCTAGCTATATCATGCACTTGATAAAATTGCAAACATTAGGCAAACGATAAAAATTTTTCTGATATTTTTAGATATTTTTGTGGTTATTCTAGTTCATGTTGTATAGAAATACCCAACGGTTATACTAAAAGAACCGGTGTTTACTTTAGTACATTCTATTTATTTCTAAACAATGTTGACAAAATTAAATTTAAAATATTTGAAAGAGCTAAAAAATTGTTTAATTTACACATCCAATAATAATACAAAATTGAATTACATTTTCTAAATTATTATCACTATACAATTCATTCAATAAAAAATGTTGCTAAGTTGCTAAATGCTTAAATTTTATGAAATAACTATAATATAAATTGTTGGGAATTAGTTGCAGCTTTTTTCCTGTGACTTTAATAAAATTACTCAAATTATTTATTTTTTGATACCATAATTATTTTGTTTAATAATCTGAGTTTAGATTATAAGTTTTACATTTTGAAACTTTATATATAAGATACAAGACCTGGCATTTCATAATGACGATTGTGTTAGGGTACATTCCAACAATAAAAAATAGTACAAATTCCTTGTAAATTTGTAAAAAACCTTATTTCAAATTAAAGCATATTAGAATTAAGTTTCAGACAGAAAACGTTTTTAGTTACTAAATTTATGAAAATATTGACTACAAATCTGTTCCAGAACTTTAACAATTCTCGCATACTTATAATAATTATTTAGACGCTTCATCAAAATAAAATCTAGTTATTTTAAAACATTAACTCAAATAATCTTGTTGCAAGCTTAATTAGTTAGAGATCCTTGCCAAAATCAGCGTTTTTTTTTTTGTTACAAAAAATGCTATCTAGTCGCTTGCAATTTCTTACGGGGTCACCGTTAGAATATTGCATTCAAACACTATTTAAGAATGCGTTCAATAAAATATTTGATTAGTTTAAAAACATCATGCTACACATATAATTTAATGTTAAATTTTAAATGTTATTATTTATAATGCGTTAACTTTCAAGTTTTCATTTCTGCAAGTTTTGAAAACCTCCATTTTTATGAACATAACTTGTAAACATTTTATTAAGTTTTATAATTTTAAAAATAATATATATGATATAATTTCAAATTTAAAAAATTTAAATTTATATTTAAAATTCAAATTTAAAAAATAATTCGATAGCTTTACCACTTTAAAATTATGCAAAACAAATTAAACTGGTTTAAGCTAAATTAGTTCTTTAGAACAATTTTATAAAATAATAAATGGGTTTTAATATTTTCAATGCTAAAAAAGTTAATAAATAATAAGCTTCTTTTGTTTTATTAATAAACATTGATTTTATAACCTTATACATTTTTTTTTTTAG